CCCCTCTCTCCATCTTTCTATTCTTTGTTTTACCTTCCACCTTCTGTGCAATGGCTACTGAACTTGGAAATGTAGCAGTTGTTAAACTTTCGAGATTTATGTTGTGTGTCTCAGCCACATTGAGACATTTCTGAACAACAAGGTACTGTATAAATGCAGTCTCTGTCTGACCGTTTTACAGGGGATCATACTGGTCTATGACATCACCGATGAGAAGTCTTTTGAGAATATACAAAACTGGATGAAGAGCATTAAAGAGGTGAGATTGATCTTCAGATACAACTTCAATGGGGAACTGCTATCAGTGGCTTCACCGCACTCCCCCAAGACCCTCCCTGTTGCCACCCAACTGCTGCCCCATTTGCCACCACACGTCCTCAAACCCCCACATCTGCCCTGTCCTCCACCAGCTCCCACACCTGCTCTGACCACTCTCCAGCCTTCAGGATCTACCCTGTTACACCCTCCCGCCCCACCTGCACCCACCCTGACCTCATCACAACTTGCCCCTGACACCATTACGTCCACCCATTAGCCTGGATTCAGTTTGAACCCAGGTCCTTTTAATCTTTTTTTTTCAATTCACTCACCGGATGAGGGCATCACTGGCTAGCCTTTATTGCCCCATCCCTAATTGCCCAGAGGGCAGTTAAGAGCCAACAACATTGCTGTGGGTCTGGAGTCACATGTAGGCCAGACCAGGTAAGGATAGCAGTTTCCTTCCCTAAAGGACATGAGTGAACCAGATGGGTTTTTCCGACAATCGACAATGAATTCATGGTCATCATTAGATTCTTAATTCCAGATTTTTATTGAGTTCAAATTCCGCCATCTGCCATGGCGGGATTCAAACCTGGGTCTCTGGATTAACAGCCCAGCGATAATAGCACTGGGCCATCACCTTCACCCCTCAAAGGGATTATCTTACACCAGCTAAGTGTGAGGACTCTGTTTCTGAAAAAAAAGGATAGGGAGAGGCGATGACCTAGTGGTATTATTGCTGGACTGTTAATCCACAGACCAGGTAATGTTCTGGGGACCTGGGTTTGAATCTCACCAGTGCAGATGGTGGAATTTGAATTTAATAAAAATCTGGAATTAAGAGTCTAACAATGACCATGAATCCGTAGAAACATAAAAACATAGATAGGAGCAGGAGGAAGCCATTCAGCCATTCGAGCCTGCTGCACCATTCATCATAATCATGGCTGATTGTCCAACTCAATAGCTTAATCCTGCTTTCTCCCCATAACCTTTGATCCCATCATCCCAAGTGCTATATCTAGCCACCTTCTGGTACCTACAATATTTTGGCATCAACTACTTCCTGTGATAATGAATTCCACAGGCTCACCACTCTTTGAGTGAAGAAATGTCTCCCCATCTCCGTCCTAAATGGTTTACTCTGAATCCTTGGACTGTGACCCCTGGTTCTGGACACACCCACCATCAGGAACATCCTCCCTGCATCTACCTGGTCTAGTTCTGTTAGGATTTTATAAGTCTCTTATTTGTCTGAACTCCAGCAAAAATAATCCTAACCTTGTCAATCTCTCCTCATACGTCAATCCCGCCATCCCCGGAATCAGCCTGGTAAACCTTCGCTGCAATCCTTTAAGAGCAAGAGCATCCTTCCTCAGAAAAGGCGACCAAAACTGCACACAATATTCTCGGTGTGGCCTCACCAAGGCCCTGTATAACTGCAACAACACATCCCTGCTCCTGCACTCACAACCTCTCACAATGAAGGCCAACATACCATTTGCCTTCTTTACCGCCTGCTGTACCTGCGTGCTTACCTTCAGCGGCTGGTGCACAAGGACACCCAGGTCCCACTGCACACTCCCCTCGGATTCCCCTCCCCATTGCTGATTGATGGGAAAAACCCATCTGGTTCACTAATGTCTTTTAGGGAAGGAAACTGCCATCCTTACCTGGTCTGGGCCTACATGTGACTCTAGACCCACAGCAATGTGGTTGGCTCTTAACTGCCAGGTGGGCAGTTAATATTAGCCAGTGACACCCTCATCCTGTGAATAAATGAATAAAAAGTAACTGAGCCATGAGGGGTGGGTGTTTTTTTTTTTATTTTGGTTGGGGTAGTGGCTTCATTTACCTGCACTGTATCAAAATGGCTTCCAGGATATCAGCTTCTCTCTTCTGGGTCAAAGGCTATGGGTTTGAGTCCCACTCTAGAGGCCAGAGCACATAATCCGTGCTGACATTGAGGGAGTGCTACACTCAGAGGAGCTCTTTCATTGAACTGAGGCCCCTTTCTGTTCTCTCAGGTGCACCATACGACATAAGTGTAGGCCAATCAGCCCATTGAGTCTGCTCCTCCATTTAACGAGATCATGGCTGATCTAATAATCCCCAACTTGCCTTTACCCCATAACCCTTGATTCCCTTCCTGTTTCAGAATCTGTCTCAGCCTTGAGTAGAATTAACAATCCAGCCCCAACAGCTGTCTGCGGTAAAGGAATCCACAAGCTGTCTACCCTCTGAGTGAAAAATTACCTCCTCATCTGTCTTAAAAGGACATCCCCTTACTTTGTGATTATCCCCTCTGGTCCTAGACTCTTTCACAAGGGGAAACAACCACTCTGCATGTCCCCTAAGGTTGCATCTTATTCTTCTAAACTGCAATAAGTACAGGCCTCTCCTTATAATACAGTCCCTCCATACTTGGGATCAGCCTTCACTGGACTGCCTCCAACGCCGGTACATCCTTCCTTAGATAAGAGAACCACTTGCCCACATTGTATTCCATCTGTCACTTTGCACTTTCCAAGCTCCTCAGCAGCCTCTCTGCTTCCTCAACACTACTGATCCCTCATACCTTAACCAATCTTGGTGTCATTTGCTGACATTTGGACAAGTACACGAATAAGAAAGGTTTAGAGAAATATGGGCCAAACGCAGTTGTTCACCGTATTCCAGATTAAGATTACAGGGCAGTTATTTTGAAGAACAGCAGAGGGGAATTTTGCCTGGTGTTCTGGTCCGCGTTTGGCCTTCAGTCCATACCTTGAAGCTTGATCCGCAGGGTAATTGTGCACCTTTGTATCAGAGATTGCTGTGCACACGTTGACGAGCATTTCTGACTTTACAACGGCGACTACATTTCAAATTGGAGTGGTTGTGATTGCTGTCCTTGGCCAGCAGAAGGCTAAGAGAGGATTTAAAAGAAATTCTCAAAATCACAAGGAGTTTGGAAGGTGTTGATGGGGAGAAACTGATCCTGCTCGTAAAAGGATCGAGAACCAGAAGGCACAGGTTTGAACGAATTGGGAAAAGAAGAAAACACGATGTAAGAAAAAAAAAACTTGGCAAGCCATTAAGATTTGGAATGTGTTGACTGGAAGTCTGGAGGAGGCAGGTTGGATTTGAGGCATTGTAGAGGGCATTATAGAGTCATGCAGCGTGGAAACAGACCTTTCGGTCCAATTAGTCGACCTTGTTCCCAAACTACACTAGGCCTACTTGCCTGCGCTTGGCCCATATCCCTCCAAATCTTTCCTATTCATGTACTTATCCGAACGTCTTTTAAATGTTACTGTACCGGCATTCACCATTTCCGCTGGAAGTTCATTCCACGTACAAACCACTGTCTGTGTAAAACAAGTTGCTACTCATATCCTTTTTAAAACTTTCCCCATTTGCTTTAAAAAGTTTCGGACTCCCCGACCATTTGCTATTCACCTTATCCATATGCCTCATGCTTATACAAACCTCTATAAGGTCATCCCTCCGCTTCCTATGCTCCAGTGAAAAAGTCCCAGCCTATCCAGCCTCGCCTTGTAACTCAAACCCTCCATTCCCAGCAACATCCTGGTAAATCTAGATTTGCTATTAAAGGCATTTTGGCAGGGCAGTTAGAGAAGATTAAAGGAGGTCAGGCAGAGTGAACATCGTTTTGTGGAAGGAAATTTACATTTAACCAACTTATTGGAGTTCCTTTGCAGAAGTAATGTGCTGCGGCTAAAGAGTGGATACTGAGATTTACAGAAGTAATTTGACAAGGTTACATATTTAAGCTTAGTATGGAAGATGAAAATTCATGTTAAATTGGCCTGCTCTGTAATTGTTTTTATGTAACCAATGTGCAGGACTGGGGACAAAGGCATGAGATTGGTACCAAGTCAAGTCAACCTGGAACAGTGAGCCAAACAGCTTCCTTCTGCACTGTAACAAATCTGGGATTCTGTGAAATCAGTACTTCATGCCTGAGATGGAGTGGCTCAGTTATGAGGAGACCTGGATAGGCTGGGTTTGTTTTCCCTGGACCACATGAGGCCAAGGGGCTGTTGGATTAAAGTATACAAAATGATGAGGCATAGACACGGTAGATTGTAAAAATCTTTTCCCTGCAGCAGATGTGTCCGAGACCAGAGAGCACAAGGAAGTGGTGGATCCAGGTACATAGTGTCATAGAGACGTACAGCACAGAAACGGGCCCTTCAGTCTAACTTGTCCGTGCTGACCAGCTTTCCTATATTGAACTAGTCCCATTTGCCAGCATTTGGCCCATATCCCACTAAACCCTTCTTATTCACGTACCCATCCAGATGTCTTTAAAATATTATAATTGTACCAGCCTCCATCACTTCCTCTGGCAGCTCATTCCATACATGCACCACCCTCTGTGTGGAAAAAGCTGCCCCTTAGGTCCCTTTTAAATCTTTACCCTCTCACCTTAAACTTGGGAAACAGACCTTGGCTATTCATCCTATCCATGCCCCTCATGATTTTATAAACTTCTATAAGGTCACCTCTCAGCCTCCGACGCTCCAGGGAAAATAGCTCCAGCCTATTCAGCCTCTCTATAGCTCAAACCCTCCAACCCTGGCAACATCCTTGTAAATCATTTCTGAACCCTTTCAAGTTTCACAACACCTTTCCTATGGAAGGGAGACCAGAATTGCACGCAGTATTCCAAAAGAAGCTTAACCAATGTCCTGTACAGCCGTAACATGAACTCCCAACTCCGAGACCGAATGTACTTTACCAATGAAGGCAAACGTACCAAACACCACCTTCACTACCCTGTCTACCTGTGACACCGCTTTCAAGAAACTATGAACCTGTACCAAAGGTCCTTTTGTTCGGCCACACTCTGCAGGACCTTTAGCATTAAGTGTATAAGTCCTGCCTCTGATTTGCACTATCAAAATATAGCACCTCACATTTATCTAAATTAAACTCCATCTGCCACTCTTTGGCACATCAGCCCATCTGATCAAGGTCAACAGTTACAACACTTTAAGACATTTGGATAAGTACATAAATAGGAAAGGTTTGGATGGATGTGGGCCAAATGCAGGCAAGTGGGACGAGCTTGGTTTCGGAAAATGGTCGGCGTGGACTAGTTAGATCGAAGGGTCTGTTTCCACGCTGGGTGATTCTATAAGTTCAAGGTTGAGGAGCGTTATAGAAGATATCTGAGAAAAATGTTTTCACGTGGAGGATGTTAGAAATATGGAACACTTTTCCATGAGAAGGTGGTGGAGACAGGTACTCTCACAAATTTTAAGAAGCGTCTAGATCAGCACTTAAAATGATAGGGCGTAGTAAGTTAACGACCAAATGTAGGTAAATGGGATTAGTGTAGTTTGGTTTTTGTTGGTTGGCCTTGACATGGTGGGCCGAAGGGCTTGTTTCAATGCTGTATTACTCTGACTCTATTGGCTTTAAAGTGCTTTAGGGCTAGTTGAAAGTCGGGTTTAGAGGGATACAGGCCAAATGTTGTCAAATGGGACTAGATTAATTTAGGATAGCGGGTCAACATGGATGAGTTGGGCCAAAGGGTCTGTTTCCGTGCTGTATATCTCTAGGACTCTCCTGAAAGGTACAATGGCAATGTCGAAGTTGTTGAGTAATATTCATCTTGTGATTGAAAGTGCTAACCATCAGGAGCCTAATGAAGTCCTGAAGAAGGGTCACTGGACCCAAAACGTTAACTCTGCTTTCTCTCTTTACACATGCTGCCAGACCTGCTGAGTTTCTCCAGCAATTTCTGTTTTAGTTATTAATGTACCATCGCTTTGCTTCCCACAGAATGCCTCAGCGACCGTGGAGCGAATGTTATTGGGAAACAAGTGTGACATGGAAAACAAGAGGAAGGTGCCCAAGGACAAGGCAGAGAAGGTCAGCTGGAGAGCTATTATGCCAGTGCACCTCCTGGGGTCAAGGGCATAGGTGCCCATTGGTGCTTTCAGCCAACCTTGGGGTGTAGGTTCAAAGTTCACACTGCTGGGAGGGAGGCAGCAACAAATTTTTGACAGCAGGGTTGGGGATGAGATATATCTGGGAACAGTGCTTGATCCTACATAGGATATCAATAGGAATTCAGCAGGAGGTGTGGAGGCTAGAGATGGTGATGGACATAGGTAGCGGTTTTAGGGGCTAGAGGAAGTTACAGAGATTGGGTGGGGGTGTAGGGGCTGGAGGAAGTGACAGAGATAGGTTGAGTTGTTGGGGCTGAAGAAGGTGACAGATAGGTGGGGTTAGGGGCTTGGGAAGATTACAGAGATAAAGAGTAGCGGCTGGAGGAGGTGACACAGATAGGGAGGGAATGTAGGGGCTAGTGGAGGTGGCAGAAATAGGGAGGGTTATTGGGGCTATAGGAGGTGACAGACATAGGGAGAGGTGCAGGGGCTGGAGGAGGTGACAGATAGGGAGGATGGTAGGAGTTGGAGAAGGTGACAGAGATAGGCAGGAGGTGTTCTTTCAAACAGCTAGCAGAAGTATAAAGAGTTGAACAGCCTCCTGCTGAATCATTTACAAAAGATACACATTTTGTCACACACAGCAGACCCATACTTGCCATAACAAGCATCAAGATTTATCAGTCTCTGTTTGTTTCCTTTGCTGCAGTTGGCAAAAGATCATGGGATCAGATTCTTCGAAACAAGCGCCAAATCTAGTTTGAATGTGGAAGAGGTAAGATTGCCGATTACTCAGTTTTTAGTCAGGAAAGTCCTCAGAAAGAAAGAGGGATCCTCCTATTTAATTTTATTTTGCCTAACTCCACCATTGCTCTACCCAAGACTGCAAGAAGTTACAGACTTGTTAACACAGCCCAATCCATCGTGCAAACCAGCCTTTCATCCATTCACTCCATCTACATTTCCCATTGCCTCGGGAAAGCAATCAAAGATCCCTCCCACCCTGGTTATAATCTCTTCCAACCTCTTCCGTCAGGCAGAAGGTATTAAAGTTTGTATGCATATATGAATAGATTCAAGAACAGCTTCTTCCTCGCTGTTATCAGACGTCTGAATGGATCTTTCAAATTTTAAACTTAATGTTGATCTTGCATTTGTGCACCTCCTCTGCGGCCATAACATCCTCACTCTGTTCTATTACCCAAATGCACTTTTGTACAGTATGATCTGCCTGTACTGCATGCAAAACAAAACTTTTCACTGTATCTAGGTACATTTGACAGTAATACATCAAATCAAATCAAAAAAATGGGTGCCTGTTCAGGCGAGACATTAAAATAAAACACAAAGTCCAAGGCATCGTCAAAGAATGGTGGGAGTGTTGGGATAAGTTCTCCCCAACGAGACCAAGATCTTGCCTTGGTTAACATAAGCAAAATAAATTTGGTCACGCGTTACGCTGCCGTTTGTCGAGATCCTGTTTCTTTGTGTCATCCCGTGAATGAAATGTCACTGGCTGGGCGGCAGTTAAGAGTCAACCACTTTGCTGGGGGTCTGGAGTCACATATAGGCCAAACCAGGTAAGAATGGCAGTTTCCTTTCCTGAAGGACATTAGTGAAGCAGATGGTGATTATTAGATTCCAGATTCTTTTTTTTTCTGTTGTTGAGTTCAAATTCCACCATCTGCTGTAGCACGATTCTGACCCCAGAACGTTACCTGGGTCTCTGGATTAACAGCCCAGGGACCGTACCACTAGGCCATCACTTCTCCATCCCTCTCCTGCTGTGTGCAAATTGGCTGCTATTTTTTTCCTACATCAGGAGTAATGTATATTTGAGATTGGGTAAGACTGACAACTTGCCTCCAACAATGATTAATTCTGTTAAATGCTTTGTCAGTGCAATTAGGTGATAGAAGATTTTAAGCGCAATCTGATCTGTCTGCTAGCCTGTATATGCTGAATTTAACTCAGTTCCTTTTCCAACAGGCTTTTCGATCACTCGCCCATGACATATTAATAAAGACGAGCAAGAAATCGGTAGGTTTAATGCAAGACCTATTTCCTTACCCTGGTTACAGTGAACTACCTCGTTAGTGAGCCCAAAAGGGTCACACATCCCTGTTATCTTTCCTACACTGCTGTTTTTTGCATTATAATAGTTGCTAGGTGGGTGTATCGGGGGATTGATGCCACTATTTGACACCTCTGAGGGGCTGTGGGACTAATCTAAGTAATTCCTTGTGTGGTAGTACAGAAATCGAGCGTTGCTGGGGAAACAAAGACACCTTTTTGTAGAAGCTTTTCACGCATCAGGACAATTTGTAGGAGTACTGATGTAACGAGGAACAACATGTTGCACTGTGTGTGAGAAAAATCAGATTGGTTATAGAGTCGTAGAACTGTACAGCATGGAAACAGACCCTTCGGTCCAACTCATCATGCCGACCAGATATCCTAAATTAATCTAGTGCCATTTGGCCCATATTCCTCTTAAACCCTTCCTATTCATGTACCCATCCAGATGCCTTTTAAATGTTGTAATTGTACCAGCCTCCTCCACCTCCTCTGGCAGCTCATTCCATACATGCACCACCCTCTGCATGAAAAGGTCACCCCTTATGTTCCTTATAAATCTTTCCCATATCACCTTAAACCTATGCCCTCTAGTTTTGGACTCCACTACCCTGGGAAAAAGATGTTGGCTATTCACCCTATCCATGCCCCTCATGATTTTATAAACCTGTATAAGGTCACCCCTCAGCCTCTGACCCTCCAGGGAAATTAGCCCTGGCCTATTCAGCCTCTCCCTATAGCTCAAACCCTCCAGTCCCAGCAACATCCTTGTAAATCCTTTTTGAACTCTTTCAAGTTTAACATCTTTCCTGTAGTACAGAGTCCAGAATTGAAAACAGTATTCCAAAAGTGGCCTAATCAATGTCCTGTACAGCAGCAACGTGACCTCCCGACTCCTATGCTCAGTGCACTGACCAATAATGGCAAGCATACCAAACACTGCCTTCATTACCCTGCCTGCCTGTGACACTGCTTTCAAGGAACTATGAACTGTACCCCAAGGTCTCTTTGCTCGGCAACAATCCCCAGGACCTTACCATTAAGTTTATAAGTCCTGCCCTGACATGCCTTTCCGAAATACAACACCTCACGTTTATCTAAATTGAACTCCACCTGCCACTCCTCAGCCCATTGGCCCATCTGATAAAGGTTGCGTTGTACTCCGAGATAACTTTCTTCACCAATTGGCTACACCACCAGTTTGGGTGTTGACTTTTACAAGCTGGGGCTGGTTAGGTCGGGTCCTCTTTAGAACCGGTCCTCACAAGACATTCCCTCCATATCTGGAGATCAATCTAGTGAACTAACTCTGGACTTGCCTCCAAGCTGTTATATCTTCCCTTGCGTAAGGGGCCCAAAACTATTCACTATTCTAGGTGTAGTCCAACTAGTGCCTTGTGTAATTTTAGCAAGAGCTCCCTATTTTTATACACTATTCTCTTTGAAATAAAGACCAACATTCCATTTGCCTTCTCTATTTCCTGTTGAACTTGTGTGCTATCTTTTGGGATTCATGTAAAAGGACCTTCAAATCCCTCTATGCAGCATTTTCCTGTGGTCTTTCCCCATTTTATTCAGCTGCCAAAGTGCACAGTCTCACATTTTCCTAGATTATATACTCATTGGTCAAATTTTTATCCACTTCCCTTTCTATATAAAGGTGTTATATTGGCAGTTTTACAATCCTCTGAGACTTTGGATTGGCACGGTGGCTCAGTGGTTAGCACTGCTGCCTCACAGCACCAGGGACCCAGGTTCAATTCCAGCTTCTGGCAACTATCTGTGTAGAGTTTGCACGTCCTCCCAGCATCTGCGTGGGTTTCCTCCCACAATCCAAAGATGTGCAAGGTAGATGGATTGGCTGTGCTAAATTGCAAATAGTGTCGAGGGAATGTGGAGGCTAAGTGGGTTACAGGGAAATGCAGGGATATTGGCTCTGGGTGAGATGCTCTTCAGAGGGGTGGTGTAGATTTGATGGGCCAGATGGCCTGCTTCCACACTGTAGGGATTTTTGGAAGATTAGTACTGGTGGAACCACTATCTCTGTAGCTACTTGTATTAATAGCCTAAGATTCACCCCATCAGTTCTTTATACCTTCATAGTATGACACAGCACAGAAGGAGGGCGTTCAACCCAACATAAATATGGCAAGTGGACCATGGATGTTGGCAGAGTATTCAACAAAGTGAGCAGAGATCCAGCATCCTTACACTCACTTCCCATTGGAGTTGGAAGCTCTGGTTGTCTTTACCCGCCTCTCTTGTCCCTGTGACGCCTGCCAATGTTAAAATCACCCACTGACACTTTGTCACTGTGTTACAATGGTGCTTGAGACATCCAGAGAGGAGTGGCTGTAGCAATTTGCAAGAAGTCCTCCTTAAAAGGCGGTGATAGATCAGAGTGGAGAAAGAGGTTGGGGAATGAAAGTGCTTGCATTTCTTGAATACCTTTCATGAGCTCAGGACACCTTCTCCCCCCCACCAACTCCGAGTGGTTTAATTTTTTTTCCTCTAAAATGTAGTGTAGCAAACACATCATCCACTTTGGACACAATAACCAGTGGTGTGATAATTACCATCTTTTCAGTTATTTTATGGAAGGGCTAAATATTGGCCCCAGAACATGGGAGAGCGTTTTCACCACCCCAATGAGTCTCGGAAGCATACAAAATGGAAACAGACCCTTCGGTCCAACTCATCCATGCTAACCAGGTTTCCCAAACAAATTAGTCCCATTTGCCTGCTTTTGGCCCATATCCCTCTAAATCTTCCCTATTCATGTACATGTCCAAATGTCTTTTAGATGTTGTAATTGTACCAGCCTCCACCACTTCCTCTGGCAGCTCATTCCATATACACACCACCCTCTGCATGAAAAAGTTGCCCCTCAGATCCCTTTTAAATCTTTCCCCTCTCACCTTAAACCTATGCCTTCCAGTTTTGGACTCCCCCTACTGTAGAAAATATCTGTGCCTTTCATGATTTTATAAAGCTCTGTAAGGTCACCCCTCAGCCTACTATGCTCCAGGGGAAAAAGTCCCAGCCTATCCAGCCTCTCCTTCCAATTCAAACCCTCCGGTGCTGGTGACATCCTTGCAAATCTTTTCTGAACACTTTCCAGTTTAATAATATCCTTCCCATTGCAGGGCAACCAGAACTGTATGCAGTACTCCAAAAGCGGCCTCACCAATGTCCTGTACAGCCGCAACATGATGTCCCAACTCCTATAGTGAATGTTCGGCCAATGAAGGCAAGCGTGCCAAGTGCTGTCTTCACCACTTTGTCTACCTGCGACTCCTCTTTTAAGGAACTGTGTACCTGAACCCCTAGGTCCCTCTGCTCAATGTTCTTTCCCTGTTAGCTGTGGGTTTTTACGTTTACATCCACCCGAGAGGGCCAGAAGGGATAATCCGATCGATGTCATGTCAGCAGGGAATTGAGTGTAACTCATAAACAAAAAGCAAAATATTTCAGATGCCGAAGATTGGAAATGGAAACTGAAGAAACACCGCTGATCTCACAGACTCAGTGGAGACAAAACAGAAAGCTCAGTAGGTCTGACAGCATCTGTGGAGAGAGATCAGAGTTAGCGTTTTGGGTCAAGTTCCAAGGAAGGGTCACTGGACCAGAAACGTTAACTCCGATTTCTCTCCACTGATGCTACCAAACCTGCTGAGCTTTTCCAGTAATTTCTGTTTTGGTTTTCAGAAAAAGGTTGGGTTTTGTGCATAAGGTAGGGCGGGGTGGGGAGGGGATAAGGAGTAGATGATGGAGCCCAAACAACTGGACAGACAGAGATAGTAAGAACTGCCGATGCTGGAGTCAGTGATAACACAGTGTGGAGCTGGAGGAACACAGCAGGCCAGGCAGCATTAGAGGAGCAGGAAAGCTGATGTTTCGGGTCGGGACCCTTCTTCAGAAAGACAAAGGAGTGGACAACGATCAGCCTAGGAGAATGAATATTTGCTAATGGGGACTATTAGTGGCTAACAATGGGTTGTGTGTATTAGCAGCCCAAGTGACAACAAGACCTCCTCGTCCTGTCTGTCTTCTCTCCCACCTATCCGCCTTCTATCACCGCCCCCCTCCTCTCTATTTATTTTAGAGCCCCATTTCTGAAGAAGAGTCCAGACCCAAAACGTCAGCTTTCCTGCTCCTCTGATGCTGTCTGGCTTGCTGTATGCCTCCAACTCCATACCTTGTTATCTCAGACTCCAACATCGACAGTTCCTACTATCTCTGATAACAAGGCCTGCTGTGTGGAGATTGGGATAAGGACGTGGGAAAAGGTGCCTCGAGCCCTAAAGTTGTTGAACTCGATATTTAGTCCAGAAGGCTGTAGAGTGCTGAGCTGCACTTGAGCACTGTAGCAAGCCGGAGACAGAGGTATTGGCCAGGGAGAGACAGTTAGCATTGCGCGTCCAATATGACATTTCTTCAGAACGGAAGAGAGGTGGAAAAGTGAGGAATTTCAGGCTGCTGAAGGAGGTGGCGAGTGGGCAAATTACTTGGCCAATGCAATATAATGTGGATAAATGTGAGGTTATCCACGTTGGCAAAAACAGGAAGGCAGATTACTATCCAAATGGTGGCAGTTTAGAGGAAAGTGAGGTGCAATGAGACCTGGGTGTCATGGTGGAAAGGTCAGTGAAGGTTGGCATGTAGGAAAACTAATGGCATGCTGGGCTTCATAGTGCGAGGATTTGAGTATGGGTATAAGGATGTCTTGCTGCAGTTATACAGGGCCTTGGTGAGAACACACCTTGAGTATTATGTGCAGTTTTGGTCTCCCAGTCTGAGGAAGGACGTTCTTGTTATTGTGGGAGTCTAGCAAAGGTTCACCAGACTGGATTCCCGGGATGGCAGGACTGACATATAAAGAAAGACTGGATCCACTGGGCTTATACTCACTTGAATTTGGAAGAATGAGGGGGGATCTCATAGAAACATATAAAATCCTGATGGGACTGAACAGGCTAGATGTGGAAAGAATGTTCCCAATGTTGGAGAAGCCCAGAACTAGGGGTCACAGTCTTGAGAATAAGGGGTAAGCCATTCAGGACTGAGATGAGGAAGAATTTCTTCACTCAGTTGTGAATTTGTGGAATTCTCTCCCACAGAAAGCTGTTGGGGCCACTTCATTAGATATATTCATGAGGGAGCTGGATGTGACCCTTGTGGCTAAAGGGATCATGGGGTACGGAGAGAAACCGGGAGTGGGATACTGAAGCTGCATGATCAGCCATGATCATATTGAATGATGGAGCAGGCTGGAAGAGCTGAATGGCCTAATCCTATTTTGTGTTTCAGTGAACAGGAGGAAAGAACAAGTATAATTTAGAGGGCAAGGAAGATTAAGAGATCAAAGGGGTCATGGAACAAAAGGTGGTAATGTTTGTAAAGAGATGACAGAGCTTTGATCCAGAGTCAGTGTTAGTAGCAGAATAAAGGCCAGCTTTAGTAGGAAAATTCACGAAAATAAGATATAAAAGGTGTAGTTCATGGCCTTGAGAATTAGAAATTATGGATATAGCTCTCCCTCTTTCGTTTTGTTTTTGTCTAATTCGATTATTTGTTCCCTTCAAACCAGGGCTTTGGGTCTCCTAGCTACAAGGCTCCTCTGGAAAGCTCGCCGAAGACGAGTCCCTCCAAGTGCTCCTTAGTTTAAGACTCAGGACGTGGCAAACACACCAGAGAGCTGCCTAACCTTCCTCGGAGAAGACCCATTGTGTGGATAACTTATTGAAATCAACTACTGGACCTGTCTGGGGACACAGCAGTTAGTCATTCCGGCTTCGTTCCTGGTTTAGCTTCAATACAGCCCCTCCCTTCCCTGTCCCCCAACAACGTTCCCCTCTTCCCTGGAGGGGAGGGGCAGACACGATACTATGTTCCTTTTTGTGACTGGAACTTCCTCCCACAGCAGGTCAAATCTGGGACTGTTTATAAGCTTTGCTTCTTTGTACGACATGTGGGGATTGAAGGCGGGTTGGGGTGGTTGAGAGGGGACAAGATATTGAATCCCAACTGGTCTGTAACAACAGTGGGATGGAGGGGAGAAAAAGAGGGAGTGATAACGGACATTTTGTTGAGCAGCCAAAGACCTTGATGTCTTTTTGCCAGAGTCAATGGTGTTATCTGCTGTTTCTTTTTCCTCCCCCCAATTTTTATTTGCTCATTCTTCAAGGACAAGACTCCCGCCCTTTTGGTTTTGGAATGCTTAACAGCGCAAGAGTGAGAATTTCCCAGTCCCAGGATGGAGATTGAGGTTAAACGTTAAGTAGTGGGACGGAATGTGGCCGATAGTTTATGTTTAATCGCCCTCCCACCATCAAACCTCGTCTTTCTGATCTGAAATTCCAGGGACAGGTGGTCAGGAAGCCAATGATAAACACGGACAAACCAGGAATTAAGAGATTGTTTTCATGTTATTGTTGAATGCCCCCCCCCCCCCCCCCAATTAAATGGAGGTGTGATTTCTCGCAGATTCCACTCCCCTCCCCCCCCAACATATTTGGTTCTAACAACATAAAGACTCAGGTTGGAGCTAATGCTAGAGATGTATCAAGGACTAAATCAATTGGGGAAGGACCCTGAATTGTCCCAAGGTAGACCTTCTGAACACCAGCCACAATTATTCTACCAGATAATGGTGCAAGACTGAGCTAGATGGAGCAAAGGGAGAAAAATAAAAATCTGGTTCCCATCCCTGGTTTGAAGGATCCCAAGGGGGGTATACTAGAGCCCTTGGATGGAGGTGGTAGGCAGAGGGGACACATCCGCTGGAGGGGCCTTCACCTCAGGTGAGGACAGAGTAAGCGGAGTTGGACCTTGTGGTTGAATAGCTTGCTGATACACTCGCAGTCCAGATTCATTCACTCAAGGTGCTGGGGAGTGAACCTTTGGGAAGTCGCAAGTCAGGGATAATGCTTGTGCCTTGCATCTCCAATATGGTCCTTGGATCGCACAAGTGCAACTCAAGTTGGCGGAAAGGAACAGAGAAGAGATTCGGGCAAGGGTTGAAATCAACAAAGAACAACAATGTTTACCACCTGCAAATCAGTTTCAAGAGTGGGTGGGATAGTGTCAAACTGCATTCCCCCACCACCTCTCTTGTACCCAAACTCCTGCCTACAGGCTCTTTCATAATCAGTGATGTCTTTTGTCTTCAAACACCTTCTTCACAAGTCTTTGTGTGGCAGACAATTAATTCTTTGCACTATCAATGAGCTCGCTTCCTGTGTTGGCTTGCAAAGGGAGGCTGGGAGGGGGCATTTGATAATTTGGGAATAGTTGTATCAGATGCAGGTTGTAGGCCATGGGGCTTTCTGATCGTCACGGAGCAAACGGGAAAAGCTTTCCACTTCAATGCAGGACCAACACAACATGTGATGGGCCTCATTCAGATTCATCCCACTTGACCTATTGCAGAGACGAATGACACCTCATGAATCTGGTCAATCTATCTGGGCACATTGGCACGGTGGAATTTGTTGCCCATTCCTACCTGCCCCTGGGGGAGCAGAACACATCCGAGGACTTTGCCCAACCTTGACAAGGACATGGCCAATTTAAGCTCCTCCAGGGTAGGGTGTGATTGGAGTGGGATAGGGAAGATGTTGTCTAAATATTCTTGGTCTCAGGACATCCCGATTCAAAGCTAAATTTGTTACAATGAATAATCCTGACAGATCACCAGAAAGAGTTTGTGGGGCATGAGTGAGGGAAGTAAAGGTGCTGGGTGTTTGAGTCTATGCAGTAAGTTTTCCAGTGGGTGAGGAGGAACAACTAAACTGTCCATCACGGTAGTCAGTTGTATAGATAGGGAGGTGCTAGGTTCCATGCACAGTCTGCAATGGGGAGGGAGCGTGGTGGTAACAGAGGTGTTTAATTAGACTCAGTGCCCCCTGGGGACAAGAGAGTGGAAGATAGCTCTTGTAGACCCTGCATTGCTGGAAAATGCACATAATGGGCCTCTGTGGCTATTTCTAGCTGGCCAAATACATGGGTACTTGCCTACTTGATAGCACTTCAGAAGAGAGAGATGAAGTAAGTTGAGTGGCAGGATTGAAGTTGGAGGGAATTCCAATCATGGGTACCAGGCCTGCATCCTAGTGCTTCTGTGACACTGTGTTATTACCACACTGCACACCACTGTGCTGATCACCTTTTCTTTGTTTGTTGCCAACCATTGCTTAAGCTAAAATTTATACGATTAAAAAAAAATTAAAATCAGCCTGCCCAGACCAAGTGCCACTCAATCATTCAAGATTAATTTCCTCTTAAGTCAGTGTTTTTGAACAAAGTGCACTCTGCTTGCTATGTTGTGCCAACCCACTGTTCCCCTTCCCCAAGTTTCAAAAGACTGAAGCTTCCGGAAAATGAATCTTGGCCTCTGTGCCAGGATTGTGTCATAGCTGCATTTAGCGCCTTTTGTACAATGCTGATGTAATAAAGATTTGCAGTTGCTATGGACTTTGACAGGGGTCTTGGTATCTCCATGGCCCTACAGTGTTTATTTTTTATATAGTTTGCAGGTCAGTGCTATCTGTGGTGGAGCAGACATTTGTAGCACGCCTGGCCTGCTTAGTATCTTGCAGCACTTGTGTGTCAACTGCATTGTTCTGGGACTGGAGTCACACGGTGGCCCAGAATAAGCAAGGATGGCAGGTTTCCTCCCACTAATGTGTGGTAGGAGATTCAGGAACCAAAGAACACAACTTTAAGGAATGATGGTCACCAGATCCAAAACGTTAACTCTGATTTTTTTCTTCACAGATGCTGCCAGACCTGCTGAGCTTTTCCAGCGACTTCTGTTTTCTTTCGTAATTTACAGCATCTGTAGTTCTTTCATTTTTTACATCTCTAAGGCTATTAGCCAAAGAACCGGAGGGAAAAGACAAGGAAACTTTTTTCACAGACATAGGAACGGAAGTAGGTCATTCAGCCCATTAAGTCTGCTGTGCCATTCAACAAGATTATGTCTGATCTGATTATCTTCAATTCTACACTACTGTCTTTCTCCCATAACCTTTATCTCTTTACTAATTGAGAATCTGCCTATTTCAGCCTTGAATATACTTAATGACCCAGCCTCTGTGGTAAATAATTCCACAGGTTCACTACTATCAAGAAATTCCTCCTTCCTCTATCTTGAATGGTGAGTCTTTACTCTAAGATTATGACTTGTGGTCCTGTACGGGGCGGGGGTGCAAAACAATCTTTCCGTGCATCAAGTCCCCTAAGAATTTTGTATGTTTCCACAACATCTGTAATGCACAGCCTCCAGAGAACAGAAGCAGTAACTTGGCTTGATATTTTCTCCCGTGAAGCAGAATCCTTTGTTAAAAATGCAGCAGTATGGCTCATTGGTTAGCACTGCTGCCTCACAGCACCAGAGACCCAGGTGAGATTCCACCTTCGGGTGACTGTGTGGAGTTTGCATGTTGTCTCCGTGTCTGCAGTGGTTTCTTCCCACAGTCCAAAACTATGCAGGTTAGGGTGGATTAGCCATGGAAATGACAGGGAGATTGGGGGGGGGGGGAAGGTGGGTCTGGGTGGGATGCTCTTCAGAGGGTCAATGCGAACTTGATTGGCCAAATGGCTGGCTTCCACACTGTAAAATTTTATATTAAACGCACGTTACTGAGCCTGTTATAAACTGTCCTAAGAAATTTGATAAAGCTTTCAGAATCAAGGCGCTGCACTGAGTAAATATTGAGTGAAAGGATCAAGAACCAGACAGCACAGTTTTAAAGTGATTTGCAAAACCAGGCAATTTTAGTTGAGACACTCAAGAAGGCAACAGATGGTTACTTCAATAGACAATGTTCAGGTGTGTAGAGCAGGAGACTGGCACGAAATCATAATACTCATACTGAGACTCAATGCTAAAAGAACTGGCTAAATGCCCTCCAACGATGCTATAACAGTGACCCATCTTCAGTTCCAGCTTTTGGTTTTCGCGTTTGCATTCGCAGCGAGACAGGAAAGACTACAACTCCCAGCCTGCATTGCGGTCGGTATTTACACTGGGTCACAACTCACCCCTTTCGCTTTTCTGAAGAAGGGGCTAGGCCCGAAACGTCAGCCTTCCGGCTCCTCTGATGCTGCTGTGTTCATCCAGCTCTACACCATGTTAACCCATTGGTCGGTGTTTGTCCAGCATTCCATTGGTTAGGCCAACTTGCCCCCACCATCAACTAACACGTACCCCCATCCCTCCATTCCTATTGGTTAAGCCGACCCTCAACTGGACAAGCAGACACTCAATCATTCCGTGAAACCTCAAACCCCTTCGTTGATAGGTCAATCTGTCCAGCATGCCGACGTCTGACTGGTCAATCGGCCCGTCAACCAACCAGCCCTGGACACCAATTGGCTCTGAGCGACACAGCACCGCCATCTGATTGGGCTAACAAGTCTGCGACACAAAAAGAAACCACGCCCACTACTTCAAACTGGATTGCGCCCACGCGCTTCACATGACTGTCAATCATCTCCCGTCCCTCCACCCATGCCGATTGATGAGGCCGTCCTGCTACATCCATGAGGTCGAGCACACTGTTCATCATTCCTCAACCCGCACGTCTGTTCCGCATTGACGCCGATTTCACCCCACAGACCCGTCTGCTCTCAACGTCGAAGGACCAAGGCCGTCAAGCATTGTCCACATCGGACTGGTTGAGCGGCCCGTCAATCAACCTCTGACCCGCCTACCCTCAACAGGGAATGGCCAGTCCCTTAAGGGCCGTCGAATCCGACTGGTTGGTCGGAACGTCAGTCGACCCCAGCCCGCCTACCTTCGACGTCGATTGGCCGGGCCTTCAAGACTTGTTATATCCGGCTGGTCGAGGCGCCCGTCAATCAGACCTGGACTCGCCTATCCCCGAAGCAGTCAAGCATGCCCGAGATCCGATTCGCCCAGACGATCGTCAAACAGCCCCGTCACCCCACCCCCGCGACGCCGATTGGCCGAGGGGTAAGAGGGCGTGCCGCGCTCCGACCGGCCGAAGGGCCTGTCAAACGCGCACACCCCGACCCTCCGAAGTTGGGAAAGGGCGGGGAACGAGGAGGAGGAGGGCCGGCTGATGGCGGTGGGACTTTTAAACCGGGTTTAAGGCCTGAGGCGAACGCCTCGCTTCCCTCCGCCATCATGAGCGCGGCGGTTTTCTTCGGCTGCACCTTCATCGCCTTCGGGCCGGCGTTCGGGCTGCTGCTGTTTACCGTGGCCGGGGACCCGCTGCGGGTGATCATCCTGGTCGCCGGGTGAGTTTGGAGGTGTAAAAGGAAAACCTTTCATTTGTTTAAAAATGGAAGAAAAACGCCCCGCCGGCCGCACTCCCCGGCCCCGCCCCGCCCCGCCCCCTTTTCTCCCGCCGCTGTCAATCATTAAAGTCCCTGAACGGCTGTGGCTCCAGGATTTTAAAGGGATCGTCGCCGGGACAGGGCCTAAGTGTTTGGCCGACACAAAAAAATTCTTTTCTCTGCCATCAGTTTTCTTCCACCACCTTTTTTTTTAAAAAATCCTTTCTCTAACCACCCCCCTCCTCCTCCTCCTCCTCCTCCTCCAAACCGATCCTGGTACTCAGTACCACCAGCCCCGCCTGAGCCTGGACGTTTATGCTCAACGGGCTATTCGACTGCAGGAGGCTGGATGGACGGCAGTTTCCAGACCATCGCTCCGGCCGCCACAGTCCATGCTTTAGCTTCAAATCGGTCTGCTGCGTGTTATCGTGGTGCCCTTCTTGGGTTCGGCCGGTCCCGCAAACCCGGGTGATTTTTGCCCGATGGGCTATTCGACTGCAGGAAGGGGGACAGACAGCAGCTCTCCCCCG